TGTAATAATGTTTGAGCGGATAGTTCAAAGTTCAAAGTATCTTACAACACAGCAGATAAAGCTGGTGTGTATATGTGTATCTTCACAACACATAGTTCATGAAAAATCACAATGCCCAGTTCTCCAACATGCAGCTGGGACTTCTCAACACTCCCCTGCAGATCAAAGTTTATTTCATGTTGATGATGTAATTAATTTTACAATGTACAGCCCCACCCAGCACATTTACAATCATCAGCTCATGTTTTATCATAATCAACTTGTAATATCACTGTTATTATTGCATTATTTGAATTATAAATTTTGCAATAACTCAGTTTATCTTTTTAAAGCCAGCGTGATTCACCTGCAGCATGATTCCCAGTAACAGCCTTTCCACCCTCACCAAATGCAGATTATAGATAAACTGGAAACTTTGGAAACAGATTTTTGTCTGTGTGTTTTCTGTGTCCCTGTACAGGCTCTGCGGGAGCCGGCTGCTTTTGCGAAGTCTACAGGTTGTGAATCACAGATCCCCCATGACAAGCTGTCCATTGCTCAAGCACGAAGGGGAACTCCAGGTCACACTTCTCAAAAACTTTTGTTACTTCTGCCAAGGAGGTTATGTTTTCATCAGTGTTTGTTCATAGTTTAATGTTTTGTTAGCTGCATTACACAAAAACTAGATCACCATGAAACATGGTGGTAGGATGCAGTATGGGAAAGAACTCATTACATTTTGGTGTTCGGATCCGGATCAGAGGGCAGATCCAGGATTTGTTTTCACTTTCTTTTATATTATGAGATGGGGTGTTTTAACGGGTTGGTATCATAAGTGTGTACATTGTGTTACAAATCTAGAGGAAATCAGAATTATGTGTTTTCATTGGCATTTATTTGTTAGTTAGCAGGATTGCGCAAAAACTATAAAACCACCATCCAAACAGGTGGAACCATGATTTCTTCGTTCGTGCAATTGTGGGTTAAGTAGCAGATGCAATTTTTTTTCATTTTCTTTACCATTGCAACATGGCATTAGAATTTCTTCTATTTCTACAATGAGAATTAGCTCATAACTGTCTTCTGATCAAGTGCCTTGATAACTTACTAGATTTGTCACCATGCAAATAAAACAAATTGAAATGAATTGAATGGAAACCAGCCAGTGGTAGCAGGAAATACTGTATTAAGATCTTTACTGGCTGATAAGATATCAGTATTTGATTCAGAAGGACATATCAGTAAACACTTTAAATTTTTTTGTAATGTCATGCTGGTACTTGAAGACTATTTTTCATGTTTCATATCTTGAAGCTCATCGTCCGGTGCGAGTCTACGCTGATGGAATCTTTGACCTCTTCCATTCGGGGCATGCGCGAGCTCTGATGCAGGCCAAAAACGTGTTCCCCAACACTCATCTGATAGTCGGAGGTAAAGAACGAATGTTACAGTCACTCTCAAAGTACAGCAACAATACTGGAAGAGTAAAACTGTCAAACCTTCTGCTTACATTAAAATATGCCCATTTCAAAAAGAGCTTAAAATAAAAAGGCCTTTAGAGGATCAGAATTTTAGTGATCTTGGACATGTAATGTCTTGTCTCTCTAGTCTGCAGTGATGAACTCACCCACAAGTTTAAGGGCTACACAGTGATGACAGAGGACGAACGCTACGAAGCCCTGAGGCACTGCCGTTATGTTGACGAGGTGGTGCGGGACGCTCCCTGGACTCTTACCACAGAGTTCCTCAAGAAACATAAGGTCAAAGGTCACAAAGTATCTAGAAGCAAAGCTTTTTAAAGGTTATATGTATAACAGCCAACATCTATTTCTATATTAAGATATCTATTCATTTGGGCTTCTGTTTTTTTGTGGTATTTTTGTTTACGGACCACTTTCAAAGGGCTTTACAACAACCATACCATACACTGCAGGCAACACCCTGCTGATAACACAGCGGGGTGGAGTTGAATGGTTAATGGACTGCATTTATATAACAGTTTTCTAGTCTTAATTTCAAAATTCACTCAATCACACATACATTCATAAAGCGCCTCTCTATCACACATGCCATTTAAACACTGCTGTCAATTTCAGTGTCTTGCTCAAAGACACTTTGATAGGTGGACTGGAGGAGCCAGTGATCAAACCACAGACCTTCCAATTAGTGAGTGATCCCTGTTTTTGTCCTGACCTTTCATTAAAACATGGATGCCACAGCAGCTTCCGCCTGGGTGAAAACCAGGAATCCTAACCGCTACACCATATGGGATCCCACAATTCTAAAATATATGTACCATGGTTAACTCGATACCATGGGTCCACACAATGATCATTACAGCAGACCTTTGCAAAATGGCCGTGTTCATATTCTAATGGGATAGTTGGGGGGAAGGAGACCTATCATCTATCTTTATATATATATGTGAGATGCCAGTGTTAGTGTGACACCTAGTGGCTGGGATTATTTTATATATAACCTTTAAAATGTCTCACAGTGGCAGCAGCAGAGATGTTCAATCATTGTGAACACTTGTGTCACGTTGCTCTCACAGATTGACTTTGTGGCCCATGATGACATCCCGTACACCTCTGCTGGATCAGAAGACGTCTATAAACACATAAAGGAAGCAGGTGAAGATATACATTATTATACCACCATGATGAATTCCAGCTCTGTAGCTTCTTATATTACTTGAATTGTGTGTTTGTGTGTTTGAATTGTCTGTTCGTGTCAGGGATGTTTGTGGCCACTCAGAGGACAGAGGGCATCTCCACATCCGATCTGATCACTCGCATTGTCCGTGACTACGATGTCTATGTGCGACGCAACCTGCAAAGAGGCTACACAGCCCGAGAACTAAATGTTGGATTTATTAACGTAAGGAAGAGTCTTATTTAATAAACTGAAGAAACAAAACACAATAAAGAAATATTTCAGGTGTACTGACGGTTGCATGCTTTGTGTTTCTCTGACAGGAGAATAAATACCGGCTCCAGAACCAGGTGGACAAGATGAAAGAGACGGTGCGGACGGTGGAGGAGAAGTCCAAACACTTTGTCTACAGGGTGGAAGAGAAGAGCCAGGACCTCATCAGCAAGTGGGAGGAGAAGTCACGAGAATTCATTGGCAACTTCCTGGAGCTCTTTGGAACTGATGGAGCCTGGGTAAAACTTTTACATTAATCCACAGGCCACAAGAAACTGAGGGGGAATCCCTGAATCCTTAGAACAATTCAGTTCTAAGTTGTGTTTATTGTTTAGTGGCATATTTATAATAATATTGAGCTTGATCTTGAGATCTTCTAGATGTATAACTTCTTGAAGTCTTAGAGTTATGCTAAGTCAAGGTAACTCGCTGCTCATTTCAGCTTCAGATATCAGATAACGCAGGAAGAAAGCACATTACCAAAAAACGTTGAGCTATTCCTTTAAGGTTCACTAGCTTCAACATCAGGTTTAGTTTCTAGTATATAACAATCACTCAAGAAGATTTAACAATCAGAAAAAGCTGTTCCCATAATAGACAAAGCAGAGGTACCAGTTAAGTTTGCTCTGCTATCGCTTTTTAAAAGTTTACAAAAGTTACAAATGCAATAGAAAAGGGTCAAGAAAGAGCAGCAGTGGCTGTTCACAGAACAGGAAGACTGTGGAAGACTGGGCCCTGTATGAAAGTTAAACTACATGGGGAAAATACCATCTCTGATTACACCCCTATTTGCAGATACATCCCCAGAAATTTGTTTGAAAATCATAAAGAAAGGAGATCAGATCAGATCTTAATGTTAGATTATGTTTAGAAGTTTTCCTCATCAAAGTTATTCAAATGATAGTTATCTCTACATCAATGTTTTCAGTGCAGTCAGGAAATTCGCCTTAGGCAAAACAAAAAGCTCAATTCTCTTCTGAAACAAGCAAGCACAACACCAGATCACACATCTCAACGCAATATAATCCACAGAACCACTGCTACAAAACCCAACAGAACAACTCAGTGATGGTCGTCTCTCTCTGTCTTTGTTCAGCATGTGATTCAGGAGCGGAGCGGCAGGATGCTTCAGGCCCTGTCACCCTACTCCTCACCCCGTGGCTCCCCAAGCAGCAGCCCCACCAGACGGCGCTCAGTTTCTCCTGATTCCTCCTCTGCATCCGCCTCAGCCTCGCCCTCTGCCTCTCCCTCCTCTCTCTCCCCTCCTTCCTCCCCCTCCTCACCAAAAAAGGGGACCCGCTCCTCTCTCAAGGCTACCTCCACATACAGTAGACATGTGCAATAAGCTCGCACATGGGTTACCATCTAAGGAGGCTATTCATAAAATGATAAAAAAGGAACAAATAAAAATGAGAACGTCAATTCATTACTGGTTTATTCAAGTGCAATATATTTTAATGTACATAATACTGCAGAGAAGAAAAAGAACATTAAAATTTAGCTTGATGTGATTTGCTGTCTGTTTTTTGTTATTCTTCCATACAAATACTCAATTTCATTGGACTCAGCAACTGAATGTTAAGGAGTTATAATGCAGTTATACAGAGGGGGGTTTTCAGACTTGTGTAATGTAATGAGTATCATTGTATGTAGCTGTACAGGAGACAGGCTACGTCACTGCAGAACAGTATGAAATTTGCTGGTGGCCACAATAATGTCTTCAATGTTAGTACAATCCAAATCAAATTCTCATTCCAGATCATTCAGCCATTAGAGGCCTTAAGTTGATACTGATGTAATGCAGATGTCGTGGCAGAGTTGTAAAAGTGAAGCAACCTATTAACAGGATGAATGGGAAAGTTGGATTGTGCCCTGGAATAACAGAGGACTTTTTAACCTGACCCAGGAGTGAGGAGGGTAGAATGAAGAGAATAATGAAGGATTGTATCACCTTTGCTTGACACCAGTGTGTCATGTTGGTATGGCCTGCGCTCTTGTGGCCTGAGAGGTGCTGTGCAACAAAAGATACTAAAGATTCTCAGGGAAACACTGAGGGACAAAACAACAATCAAACCACCAGCACTATTAAAAGTGCCTCAAACATGACAACACAACTCAAGTCAAATGAACTTAATTTCACTACTAACTGGACCACAGCCTTCTAACAGCTTATAAATATCATATAAATATTCTGTAATATATAATTTGTCAATCAACCAGATGGGGGAAGTACTAAAGTACCACACTTTTCTACTTGAGAGAAATATTTAAAGTATTAAAGAGCGCTTGCTGAGTGTAGTCTATACCCTAATACGACAGTTTACTACACCATTAACACCTACAGTATATTCTGTTTATTACAAAATCATTGATTACTTTTTAAAATATAGATAAGCAATGAATATATAATGCTTTGTGCTGTAAACATGCAATGAAGTAGAAAGTACGGTAAACCTGCTTGAGTACAGAAACATAAAAAAATACTTAAATACAGTGACAAAGTTAATAAACTTAGTTGCATCCTGTCACGACAATCCACATATAATTTCTCTGCTGTAGTTGTATTTTGGTTCAGAAGTTTTATGTATCACAAATCGTCACATTTTATAGGCTCTTTGTATTTTCTTATGTGAAAATGTATAAAGTAACACAAGCTGTCAGATAAATGTAGTGGAGTAATTAAATGAAATACCCTGAGTAGAAATACCACTTTAATCTATATTTAAATACAGTACCTCAGCAAATGTACTCTCTGATCAAACGTTAAAACACAAACTACATCTTCAGAACTACAAAACCCTCTGCGCTCGTTCAAAGTCGAAGGGGCTTCTGGGACTTGCAGTTTCTGTGCCTCCGTCCTTTAAACCCAAGGCTGTGACGTCGCCGTCAGTTTGTGTGCAGCACTCGGATTAAAGATGGCGCCCTCTCATGCGCTGAGGTGCTGCAAGCGGGCTCTGAACTGGATACCTGTCCTGTTTATTAACCTGGTCATCGGCTGGTCCTACTACGCCTATGTGGTGGAGCTGTGTGTGTGTGAGTACCGTCACTTTCCTCCGTGTTTATCTCGAGTTGACAGCTTCAGGGGGGGGTTTGCCAAGTTTGATCATCCGGTGGAAGTGAGGTTTACAGACCTCTGGCTTAACTCAGGCTTTCAAACCTCAGTTTATCACAGTTTGACACTTCACGTGAATCGGTTCATTCACCTCAGCTGCACATGCATCACTTTACCCTGTCAAACTTGGTTTTCTTTCAGATTTCTATCAGAGTCTAGGAAGCTTAAATAAATATTATAACTAGTCGTTAATAACCAGGTGACATTAGAGTTCGGGTGAATGTGGAACAGATTTGAAAAGAAACTTCCTTATTTGTTTTTGTTGCTAAAATTTTCAGAGAGTGATTTTAATGACACTATACATCATAACACAAATGTGTCATAATCAGCTTAAAAAAACAAAACAGAGATCAGCTATTTATTTTTAAATATCAAGTTTGCACACTAAAATAAATATATTGTTTTAGATTCCTATCCAAAGTTCTTGTCCTTTGATGTGTCTGTGATCTGCATCTGTAATTACTAACACGTTGAATGTATTTACTTTATGTATTTTCTATTTACAAGTTGCCAAATCCTGAGGTTAAATAGTCGGGTTACAGTTCTGATTTAATTATCTGAATCATCATGTGTTATCCAGTGAAGATTTACTGTGGGCTGGAGAAGAAGGAAGACGGTTAAGACCTTCAAAGTCTTCTCAAAGCGTTAAGAAAACAGTCACATGTAATATTTATGTAATACTTGATACTTATACAAAGTAATGCGTTAAGTTAAAACTGGTAATAAAGCAGAAGCTTTTGTGTGGTTAAATGTCAGGATTTATTTTAACTTAAACTTTTTAATGTTAAAAACATCGTAGACAAATGATTGATTCATAGGAACAATTGGTTATCACTATTTTTCAATCAAATCACTGATGATTCTTCTCAAAATGTAATCATCAATCAGCCGTGGGGCGGATAAGAGTTCCTTCTTTTGTTATTATCAAATGTGATCAATGTGTACATGCATATTTATTTGAAGTCTGAACCAGCAGGTCTGAAAGAAGCTCAGTGGGCCTGAGTACTGTATGTTTTATTCAGCAGATAGATATTGATCATGCATCATTATCCATGCACTCACAGTGGTTTCTTTTTATAGTTGGGTGAAACTGTACAATTATCAGTGTGTAGATAGACGTGCTGCAGTTATGTGTGTAACCAAGTGGCTGTGGTCAGGACAGGGACATCCCTGCTGCTTTAACAAAGCACTCTGTTATGGGTGGGTCACCGCTGGCCGTGCCAGGCTGCTGCCACATGGCGTGAGAAAGAGAAAGTGTGTGTGTCTGTGGTGGGGGGATGTGTAGTCATGCACTCTTAGGGCTACTCACTAATAGATTTGATCTTTTTCTGCCTCATGTAGATACAATCCCAAACAATGCAGAACGAAGTAAGTGAATCAACACCACATGGTTCATTGTATCTATCTACTCACTAATTCACATTAAATGCTGTAACTTGCCTCATGCTAATTAGTCATAGCAAAGATTAACGCTACAAATCAAACCTTTTTTTTCTCCCTCTCAACAGTCAGCTATTTGGTCATCTTTCACATTTTCATCACCATGTTCATATGGTCCTACTGGAAAACTATCTGGTCCACACCAGCCAGCCCCTCAAAAGCAGTAAGCCAAAATAAATAAAAAAAATTCTTCCATTCACACTTTTTCAATATACATATACATGCCATTCATTTTTGGATGGCAGGATATTTGTAAATACTGTTTGAAAAAACTCTCTGAGACTCTTGCTGATATATCTATATTGGAAATGTTTTACTCCTAAATCGGAATCAGCATCAGCCCCCAAAACTCCATATTGGCTGGGCTCTAGTGTTAAGTTTAAGGGCACAGTCACATTTACATGAATGTGAAACGAATATCATGGGTCAAAGTTCACCAAAGTTGAAAGCGACGCTGCAAATAAATAAATGTCACTTGAACAGACTGGAAGCGAGCAAACGTTCGCCACTGATATATTCCTGTATGTGTGACGGTACTTTCTCCGACTGAGGAGCTTTCTTTTCTCCTCCTGGCAGTTTGGTCTCCCCAGAGCAGAGAAGGAAATGTACGAGAGAGAGGAGCGAGCCGAGAGGCAACAGGAGGTCCTGAAGAAAGTGGCGAGGAATTTACCTGTGTTCACGCGCACGGCGGGGGGAGGTGAGGCGGGAACAAAACGGCCTGTGGTTGCTTCACTCTTTTAATGCCTCTAGCAAAGTGGAAAGGACGCAGAGACACTGTCCTCATTGTTCAGCTGATATCTGTCACTCACATCAGCAGCGCAATCGAAATTGTGTAAATGTGTTGTCACCGTGTCTCTAGGATCATATTGCAACACTGTATGTGTTAAAAACAACTTGATCCTCGTAGGTGTTGTTTCTCTGCTGCTGTTTGCATCAGCCTCGGCCTGTGTTTATGGAACCCTGCGTACCAGGAGGATTAATTTGACTCAGGTGTGCTTCCGTATCTCTATGGAACACAACTGGCTCCTCATCGAGAGCCACGATGTCACCAGGGACAAGTTACAACGACACCCTGAAATAATGCCCTCATACTAGAATATCCTACAGAATCAATAAGAGACAAATACAAGAAGGAACACAAGAAATGTTTCAACTAAATTGTGGTAAGGGTCTGATTTAAAGAATGCAGCTCAAATTCTTACTCTGCTTAAATTTCGCCTCACAAACACTCTAATGGTGCAATCTCTGATAGTAGAGCTGTGCACGTGTGGTCCAAGTATTACTCTCCTGGGGACCTAAATCTGTTGCTCTCACATTATGGGGCCTTGTCTTCAAGCTTGTACAGGTCTTTGTACTGTACTGGTCTGTCATTACTTTCTGTGCCACTTTCAAAGGGCTGTTTGAGGGTTAAGACTTGGTCTTCGGCTTAGCGTTAGTCATTTAGTTGAGTGTCCTCCCTAAGATAGAAGTACAAGGTTTTGTTTGTCTGTGTGTGGAAAAGCACCAGTCACACAGAAGCACTTTCATAATTCTGCTTTCATTTTCTCTAAACAGCCGTCCGATACTGTGACATCTGCCAGGTGATCAAACCTGACCGCTGCCATCACTGCTCCACCTGTGAAATGTGAGTGTTTTCTCAGTTTACTCTATAATTGCAGCTTGCTGATGTATTTTTTATGTTATGTTTTTCTCAAATAAGCTGATAAGATAATCCTTTATTAGTCCCACAACGGGGACATTTGCAACCCTAATCGGATTTATTTTATATTTTATTTCTGGAGGGGAAGCTGCAATCAATAAGAATTTAGGAACCGTTTCGCTTCCTTTTCAGTCACAACTTAATACAAAGAGTGTTTTGCCTTGCTTTAACCTATCTACTACTACTACTACTACTACTACTACCACTACTACTGCTACCACCAATAATACTACTACTACTACGACCTGCATAATCTGGTAACAGACAGTGAACAGAAGACAGAAGAGGAAAAGCAGATGTGCTGCTGTTAAGAAAATAGAGAATTTATACTCCAACAATTTTAATTTACGCTGCAAATAGTTGTTTTAAAGAAAATGTTTAAAAACAAAATCAGCGTAGATACATTTCTATTTATTTTTTAAAGATATCTACTAGATTTGACTGATTTGATGTTTGTTTTCCTTCTAATTCCTCAAGGTGTGTGTTAAAAATGGACCATCACTGCCCCTGGTAGGATTTTCTCTTTTAAACATGAATTATTTTCAATTACTTCAATGTGGGTCACCTTTGGCCACCTTGTTTTATAATAAAACTTAGAAAATATTAAGAGATCCACTGTTTGTCTCACGTTTCCATCATGTTTTCTTTCAGGGTGAATAACTGTGTTGGATTCTCAAATTACAAGTTCTTTGTCTTGTTCTTGGCCTTCGCCTCGCTCTACTGTGTCGTAATATGTGCGACAGTCGTCCAGTATTTCATCAAATTCTGGACTGTAAGTACAGATACATCAACATTCAGCAGTTTGGGGTTTTAAAAACACAAGCATCAAATTCTTTTGAGCTTTTAAATATTTCAATTTTTTTGGGCCAGGATTCAGATAACTTAAGATATGAATTATTAGATTAAATTTAAGTACAGTCAGGCTTTAGTGAGGCATGTGATCTACTGCAGATTACATTGTAAGATATCGACTGATCGGTTTGCAAATGTGTCACTGTCGTCATGTGATCGCTTATCTGTGCTCTCTCTTTAGCTTTCCGCTTTGCATGAGACAATGGCTCCTGTCATGTGGTCGAACAGTGAAGGAGTTTATTGTGTAATGACAGAAAAAATACAGTCAGAAAATTGCTAAACACAATAACAGATAGTTTTGCATGACTTGATCAGTCAGAGGACAACAAATATTCTTTCACTCATGCAGAGTGGCAAGACTTAAACCTTTGTTCTGTTTTTTTTCCCCCTGTAAAGAAACAGCTACCGGACACGCATGCCAAATTCCATATCTTGTTTCTGTTCTTCGTGGCGGCCCTGTTCTTTATCAGCATCTTGTCACTTCTCAGCTACCATCTGTGGCTCGTGGGAAAGAACAGGACCACTATAGGTAACTGTACCTAAATATTTAAATTTTATTAAACTGATGCTTGTGTGCTTTGAAGGTCACCGCTGACTGTGTTTTAAAAAAAAAAATCTTTCCAGAGGCTTTCAGGGCTCCTGTCTTCGCAAATGGTCCAGACAAAAATGGGTTTTCACTCGGTTTTAGCAGAAATGTAGCAGAGGTGTTTGGAGACCAAGCAAAGTACTGGATTTGTCCCATTTTCTCAAGGTGAGTGTGCTTTGGCCTGATATAGCTGCAGTCACCTTAGCAATCACAATGATGCAAACTGATAGGCAGTGCTAGTGTAAGTCCACACTGGGCTTCAGGGTGAAGAGCTGTTTTCAGACATGAACGTTGAAAATGTCCAGAAAATGGTCCCAGATTTTGTTCCTTTCACATGGAAAGAGATTGTCTGGGTCAGATGGTTTCACAACAACAGGAACATTTCTGGAACAGTCAGGCGACTGGCGGTCATCAGCGCTGAAGCTACTTTAATAGAGTGCAGAAAATCAGTGTGTTTCACACCCGGATCAATCCAGTTCCAATGTGTTCACTATTTCTTATTTCTCTTATACCAGTCTGGGAGATGGGCATTCCTTTGTTACCAGACTGGTTCACATAGATCCTGAACAAGCAAACAGTGTCCTCCAGCAAAATGGAAAAAGGCTAGTGTTTTTTCCCCCTCTTTTTTTATTTATTTAATCTGATTCCATCCAGGTTTATTTTTATTAATCTATCATGTGATTTGAATTACAGCCCTGCTGATGGGGTGGAGACCGGCGCTAGTTTCCATAGTAACAATATACAACACACTGTGGACAACGGCAAAGAGACAGTTGGTGTGTTGCTGGCGCTATTTCTCACATTGTTTTTGTCATCACAGCTTGTATGTTGAGTAATTTAGTCTTTAACTCTCTGCTCAAAATGAACCATCTCTTCTGTCCTCGCTGTTTGGTTTCAGACGAAGCCCTCAAAGTCTCAGTGACAGTGGAGACTGAGCCGTAGCAGGTAAGTAGACATGATATAAATAACTGTAGTTCCTCTGGTTTGTCGTTCTCCTGTGTTTATTTGCACTTTGGTGGCTGTCGCCGCAGGTGGCACCTCTTCAGAGAGCTCATCAACTGGGATGCCTTAAATCGGGAGCATCAGCACCTAGGCAGGAGCCGTCCTCCACCCTCATTTAGAGTCTGTGCAGCCTCAAGTCGCATGTTCTCATGGATCATCCCTCGTCTACTTCAAACAATACTGTCTTCATGTCAGCTGAGACAATACAGGGACCACATGGAGGTGATTCCAAGGTTTTGTCTTTGTTTTGAGCCAAAGATAAACAGTTTTTATCATTGCATCTGAAAAACTCTGGAACTTGACCACTGCTTTTCCCTCTGAGCCACTGTACAGAATATTGGCATTTATCTCCATGGATTAATCACGTTACATATTTCAACATGACTTATCCTTTTGTCAGTATTAATCATGCATAAGTGACTACGCCTTGAATCTGGTGATGTTTGACGTGGAGTAGTGGCACCAGTTAAAGCGAGATTTTTTTTAACTCACTCAGAATGGTGAGACATTTCAAAACTATTGATAAAGTGTGTGATATAATGTGTTATCAGTTTTTAACTCCAAGCACAGTGCAATTAAGACCAGTCGTCAATTATCAGAGGGTCTAATTTAGTTTATAAAATGATCCAAACATTTAAAATGTCTTTCTGTTTACACTTTTGTATTATTTTTGCATTTCAAATTTTATACGATTGGTAAATGTGCAGGTGTAGAAACTTAAAATGCAAGGACCAAAAATCCAGTTTAACTGTAGTTTAAACTGTTTCTCATTCCAAATGATTTGCACAACCAATAGATAAACTACTGTATAATGTTGTCCTATAATTATTAATTACATTGCCATTTTTCATTGTCCCATAAATATTTGTAATTTATTTGTTATCAAGTTTTTATAAATTATTGTCTTTCCATGTGTATTGATTTTATTTATATGTACTTATTTCTTTCTTAGAAATGATATGATTGTTTGTCTTTGTTGCGTTTTCACACTCATGATCTATCCTTTGATTTGTGTAAAATGAATCAGTCTTGCGTGTTAATGCCGAAGATAATGAGTTAAATCTATTGTTCGCGTTTGAGAATGAGATTTATTTAAAGCAAAGAGCACAAAATGAAACCATGTTTAAAGGCAATGTCAGAACGGTCAGAGACGTTTGCTCCCCTGCGTCCTTGAGCACAAACTAGGATAGACGACGTGGACTTAATTTATGACTGAGGACATGAATGCTCCTCTCTGTGCTCCTGGCAGCTCTGTCGTTACATTATATTGCTGTTAGTAGAAATGATGCTCAGCACAGTGTGGGATTATGAGTTTCAGAAGATAACAGATGTGTTGTGATGTCACTGAGTGAGTGATCGCCCATGTGAATGTACTCATGGCAGATGAATAACTAATTTTACTGATCAAACCTGGCTAAACACACGAGAACATCATTCATGTTGATTTGAATTGTTCTGTAGTAATAAATGTAAGAAGCTATAAAGTGTGATTATTATAACAATTCATTATGATTTTCATGTCTCTGCACTGACAACAACCAGTGAGAGGAGGTGTGTGTGATGTTTTTAAGCAGTCTGTCCGTCCCATCGTTGTGAACGCAATATATCTATGTATATAAGGCCTTGAGGAAATTTCTTCAAATCTGATTCAAACGTTCAGTCGGATTAAATAAAGCAATTCGAATTGGAAGGTCAAGGTCACTGTGACCTCACAAAACTATTACTTTGTGATTTTAAGAGTGCCTCCCATGTTTTCATAAATGAAGTTAAAAGTCATTGAAACTAATATTTTTGCCTGAGCAATGCAAGAAATACCAAATCTTGTGTTTCCAATACAGTTTTTCAATTTGCCTCATTAACTATTGGATGGATGCTATAAAACTTATCAACAACATCCATGTTTCCTTCAGGATGAACTGAATTCAGTAAATAAACCCCTACAAGGGCTCACATTACCATGAGCTTGCTTGCCAGCATTAGCATTTTCACACAATTTACATAGACACCATTGTGTCTATAAGTACAGTGTCATAGTGCCAGTAGCATGACTGTAGACTGTGATTTTTACTGAAATGCTAAATAAAGTGGTGGATGTTCCATTGTCAAAGAATTGAAGAGATACCAAATGAGGAACGTGGATCAGTTTGAAGTAAAGTTAAAAATTAAATCCATCATGCATTTATAGCCCTCAGATGTGCTGGTCATGTATAGATTTATAAGCACATTTATTTCACAAGACTGAACTGACTCAAGGCAACTCTTCACTTTTTCAAGCTCATTAAAAGTTGAACCTTGCTGATAAGCTCGGAGTGTCGGGCACATAATGAGCTGACTAACATAATGAGGTGGGAACCACACAGAGGTGAGTGACCACAGTGTTGTTCACCTCTTCATTGACTGGGCTCCAGATAAAAGCTGATGAGAGTCAACACTCATGCTTTGCAATGGAAAAAGTAAATCCATTAAGGCTTTACATTTTAGGACTGGGCAATAAAAGAATATCAATAATTTATGCAACATAACTATCAGTTGCAGAACCTTCACTCAGGAGCAACANTAATGGATTTTTTAAATCTTGATATCGTTTTCTGCCACATCACTATGGCCTCATCTTCAAGCTTCTTTTAAGGACCAGGACTTTCAAATGATCAATCTCAGACTTGCACTTGATACTTCTTCAAAAACACTTGATCTGACACTAATGCAGCCACTCTCCTATAATGTCATTTTCTTTTTCCTCTTTGTCAAACCTGCCGACATTTCATGATCATTTGTTTACATTTTTCTATAACTTTGGATTAAAAATGATATTTCTACTGTAATAAAAAGGTATAATTTCTCTTTCTGTCAAACCTGAAGACAACAATACCTCCAACCTTAGCTTGCATGAGAGTGCTTCTGCAGCACACTGTTTTTAATAATTAATTCTACGTCATTCATTAGTAATATCCTGAGCATCTGCATGGAGAACTGTCTGACACAGACCAACACATATTAACCAACACAAACAGAATCATTTCATGTTCTCAAGGCACTTGTAATTTTTATCTTTATCTCTTTATATGCTTTCATATTTAGTGGAGGGAATACAACACGCCTTGTCAAAGTTCACGTCTGTTGACACACAGTGAGTTTCATTGACCTTGGAGTTATTTTAATAGCTGTGACCTCAGTCTGTGAATGAATGAGCAACAGTTAATGATATGGAGGACTTCTCATAAACATATAAGCTCTGAACCCGTCATCTTCCCTCCATTCCTAAAAGTTACTTGAGGGCTACAGTTGCTGTCTGCTACTGCAAACCTCTGCTGGACACAGCAATGTTAAGAGGAAACACGTTATTTAAGTAGATCTTGTTTTTTTACTACTACAAAATACTTTTTTGTGCTAAGGGAGAAATTAGATTTTTCTAGAACTTTCGTTTTTAAACTTTAGTCTTTTGGGGAATTTATATCTGCATATACCATGGAGGAAACTCTCAACAGCACCATTGATCCAGCATGTTTACAAGAGCCTCCGCAGGCTATCGACGTGATAAAGCGTAAGTGACCCACATCTTTACATTCTTCTCACTGATAACGTCATCTTAATGGTAATAATAATAATACAAAACAATATTTGTGGAGCCCTTTCCATTCAAAAAATGCAGCTAAAAATTGAGAAATGCAAAAAGAAAATAAATAAATCCCATTTGATAATA